AGTTATTACATTGCGCCATTAAAGTTATTTAGCAGCGCTGTATCAAGTGTAGAAGTTATACAGCTTCGACTGCGTTGGGAATATGATTGTAAGTGCCAGAAGAAGATTCCAAATAGTTCTGACGATGGTGTATAACACTCAGAATTACTGGGTTTTCGAACTTTGTCTATCGTCCAGTAATTGAGGTTAGCTCTTTCTAAGGGATCCAACAGAGTATGTCTCCCCCTCCCCATCACCTGAGGAAGGAAACAGATTCAGTTTCCGAAACGTTGTGTGTTGTACCTTCTAGAATACCGGACGATGAACAGAGCCCGAAAACCCAGTAATTATGAGTATTCGGGAGAAGGCAGTCATGACCTATTTCATTTACTAGCCAGGCGACTTCCTGAAGAGACTGCGAAACGCTAAAGAAAGTTAGAAAAACTCACCCTCCACCTAGCGTCGAAGTATAGAATGTGTGGAACTGTCTCTCCATTCCCTCATACGTCTTCATGGCGTCGTACTTAATTAGACACAGGGAACAAAGGTTTATCTCTACCTTAACCTTTACCTCAGTCAGAGAAACTAGTAATCCAGCAGCGACTGTCAATATGAAAGTCCAGATTGCTACAGCTGTGACCTCGTCATGAAGTTTAGCTTCAGGAGAGTTAGCAAGAATGGCGCTTATGATCCTCGGTAGAATGTGAGCACTGTGTTATGCATTCATGTCAAAGGAGCCTTGTAAAGAATCATTCTCGGATGACTAGCAAGATAAATTACTGCCAGCGTTCACTGGTTATTTCTGTTTCTTCAGTCATCTCCTTGCTTTATCGATATTTCTTTCTTTGTTCAGCACTTCGCTCGGACCATCGTAAGAACCCATACAAGCGAGGCCTTTGGCATAACGTGAAGCTGGTCTAGGGCAGAACCACAAAGCTGAAAGCATGACAGCAGTACGCGTTGTGCGCAGCGGCAACGAAATGATAAAGCGTTCTTCCTAGAACGCATACTTTCCTTCAGATGTTTCACTACATATGGCGAGGCAAGCAAAGCTATAAAATATTAATTACACAACTCGGCGGTCCATTAAGTAACTCCATGGAGCTGAGCCCTTCTTGAGAAGCCACCAGCCGCTCAATTACTCAAGAATTTGCCAACATTTTATGGAACCCGAACGTTCATTACTGTTTTCATAAGAGCCCTCCACTGGTTCCTATCCTGAGCCAGGTCAATTCAGTCTGTATCACCCCAACCTACCTCTCTAAGATCCAATTTAATATTATCCATCTAGTGGCCTCTTTCCTTCTGGCTTTCCCACCTAAATCCTACATGCATTCCTCTTCTCCTGTGTGCTACATGCCTTGTCCATCACATCCTTCTTTCTCTTCATAATTTCCATTCCTACAGATTCTCACTACATTAAATTTATGAGATATGACCAAAAAGGGGGGCCAGATAAAGGAGAGCAGAATTGGTTTAAATACATAATTACAGACAAAAAAACAAAACATATGATTGAAGTTTTGAAAAGCAACGCGATGTAAGTTTCGAAATCGTATTTAGGCGGGAAGCTAACTTCACAGACATCGGAAACACATATATGTATGTTTATTTTCCATACTGCTGTAAGCCCAAAAGGTAATTGTAATCTAATCTGTAGCTACTGCTCCCTCCCTTCAAAAGGGTATCATATAGTGGACAATGTTTTCAATGTGGAGAGCACGATGGCTTAAATATTCAGACCCATTTGATATCAACGATATAACTGATTTGAAAATCGATGAGAAGAAGCGTTCTTTAGTTAAATTATTTTTAAAAATCGCTCTCAGAATAATATTAAATGCTGAATACACTAATGCCTTATGGTGGACAGGAGGTTTGCGCTACCCAGTGATCCGAATAGCTATGCTGGCGGTAGCGTAAGCTCCTGGTAGAGCTCCGATTCTAGATAGGTCAAGGGGTAAGGGCTAGACGAAGCGTAATTCTTGGTCTTTCAGGTTAGGGGTTGGGCGTGGGGTTAACGACCCCACCACGGAAAAAACTTACTGTTATGAAACTTCCAGAAAGGCAAGTTTTATTACCATGTAGGAGGTCAAGACACACACAGGATTGTAGCGCTAGTACAGAAGAAGTAGAAGAAGAAGCAATACTCTAATGACCATACACAGAATGTGCTTTTTCGGTATGGGTGCTCTGCTCACTTAAACGGACTGACCTCCTCCACAGATGTCGATACCAAGAGATACAGCAGCACCCTCGGCACCGGGTTCCCGAGGAGGAATAGCCTGTCTCTTTCAGATTTTTCAGAATGAACAGAATATTGTGACGCATATGATCATTGATAGGCAACGGCTAGGTAAAACATTCCTTAAATTACGCTCCCAACAGTAAGACATTCGTTGCTGGGTATCGGACCAGTAAACACGCCTCTATAACAATAGGAGAGCTGTGTGGTCCGTGCCACGACTATGTAAGGGAGACAGTGAGAAAGGGGAATAGTAGCCTCCCGTGTGGAAGCGGGGTCGAATACCTCTACCGTAGCCCTGCGAGTCGTAGGAGGCGAAGAAAAGGAAAGTCTCGAATCTGAAACAGTAAAATATGGTCGCGAGTCCCACGGACTCGGACCCGAGAATGCTTACTCTGCCGAGGGCCAGCAGCAATTGTAAACGACAGAACCGTCCTCTCGTCAGACAGAGCGCCGCACATCAACAAACCCGCAAATGTCTGACATTAAAAAATCTGGTCTTAAGCCCCAGATGGATGCTTTATTCCAAGGCACACTGGCCGACTGACCGTCGGTCGTAACGTACGACTCAGACTCAGGGAGAATAGTCAGAGAACCAAGAGAATGGGAGTACAACGGAGGACTACAAAGATTACGAGAATGAGAACTGAGTCAGTTGTCGGTCGGAGATAGCCACGGGATATTACTAGTTAAAGATGAATTAGAAGTCAGCCTGTGAAGACTTAGTGCGTGATTAGACGATTTAGTCACAGTGAGACTGTTTTAATTCGGTTGCCAGGATACGACTAGTGAAGACTGAGAATCCTAGTACGCGTGTAACGGTGTGTATTGTGTAAATCAGCGATAGCGCTGTATTAGTTGTAAGTACCAGTTGATTTTATAAGGTGTTAATAAATCCAAACATCCAGTCCAAACCCCATCTATACTTACTAATAGACGTGACAATAAAATAATTACCACTTACTGCAAAAAACTTAACCACTATCTTTATTAGCAATATCAGAATGACGTCATATTATTTAAATTGAATGTTCGCAATTAACTATGCACTACGGAGTCATAAATTTGCCTTCGGTTTGGCTTATAATGGAGAGGAAAATAATCATGATTGATTTACCTACTGAACCTTCTTGCAAGAAGTGCAACAAATTTAACATTTCGAGCACAGTGGTTAATGCATCCCTGCTTCAACATTAGATCACTCTGCTTTTTGCCCACAGAGTGTGTCTATGGGTTTCATATGATTTTAAGAATAAACTGGTAATTTCCTAAACTCACTATGCTACAAGCCGGAAGGTCGCGGGTTCAAGTCCCGATGAGGTCATTGGATTTTTTCAATTCACCTAATCCTTCCAGCCGCACTATGGCCCTGGGGTCGACTCAGCCTCTAGCAGAAATGAGTACCAGGAATATTCTTCAAATGTTCTTGGGGGTAAAGGAGGGCCGGCGCGTAGGAATGACAACCTTGCCGCTATCTATGAGCAGATTGTTTAGAAAATGTGGGAACCTCAACATCTCACAACCCTATGGGCCTTCACGGCCTGTTACCTTTAGTTTTTACTTTTTAAAAATTTCCTTTAACTTCATTAACAGACTTTTCCTTGTAATGGTCATACAGCTTATTTTCTGTGACGTAAGAACTGAAGTTTTAAATATTACCTGGGTGAATTTCAGGCTTGAGATGGTCAATATTTACTCTATTTCAACACGAACTGCACAGCCAATAGAAGGATATGCAATCCTATACAGAAATCACTTGTTGTAAAATAGTATTTATACAGCTGTGGGAAATTAATGCTCCTCTGTAAAATAGAAGACTAAGTAAAATGTTTGTATCGGCAGAGACCACGAACCGTCTTGAAAATACTGCTCTAGCTTAACGCTTGCTTTAGATATTTACTCTTTAAATATTTAATAAGGTGGGGAAAGAAAGGCTAATTTGGATTGAAATATTTACCATATAGAATTAGCATGTGAATATAAGACAAATGTTTAATGTGTTGCGTGACATTCACTCGAGAAATATTGTGGTCCAGGCATTCATTCATAGCCACAGTTTCCCAGTAATATCCTACATGCTACAAAACATAAACAAATTATAAATTATGTAGATGATTTAGCCGTGTTAGCCAGAGAGTGAAACATTAAGAAGGTGAAAATGAGCTACAAAATAAACATCAAAAAACATTTATAAATATAATACAGAAACACAGACTGTCTGCTGAAATATAATACCATGGATGTGCTTTCAAATTTCAAATACTTTACTTTTATCGGCCAGCTATATTTCGTATCAAGAGAAGTGCCAATAAGAACTGCAAACACATTGAAAGCAGACAGTTTTATCCAGAATTTATGCTGTTAGAGGAACTTAAATTATAATCACGATATTCTCCCAGGTTTACCTTAAAATAAAAAAAAAATCTTCATAGAAAGTTCGAGATTAGGGAAGTTCTCCGCTTTCCTAAACAAATGTCTTCTCTTTAGTGCCATAGTAACGTTTCAATTTATATTTCTATTTTCTTAGACATATTAAATTTTGTCTTAGAGTTCCTGATCTCCCGACACTCTAACTGTATTTAAATTTATTCTTTCATATAAACATCAAATCCGGGCAGACGGGTGCCAGTAATTTGCAATGTAGTATAAAGCAGTAAAAAGTAGTAATGTTAGTTAATAACATTTTTTATGGCGAAAAAAGGCAAAAGACGTCGGAATACGAACAGGACCTTGCTAAACACACTTCACGTGCTGACGATGAGTGGCCTCGACTTACCAGTGTCCTGACTGAGGAAGAAGGTGACCGAGGCGAGCAAGATGACGATGGATATGAGCCCAATACCACACACGACACTCCGTCTGCACTGCATTCTAGCGGCCGCCCGATTCACAACCACGGACTGTGTGAATGCAATCTTATCCTGCTACAGCGGCAAGGTAACGCACGCGCCAGACAACCCACGGAAAAAGCAAGAAAACTTGAGATGCACGAAGAACGGTGCGATTAACCACAGCCCTCCACATCACAAGCAAGGGGACTGAGACTGGATTCTTTGCATTTTTCTAAAATGTGTTACGCACCATGGACCAGTGAAACAGTATTGTATGAGGACTACCTGTTTCACATTGGGATCCATACAAAAAGCAAAGTTGTCCCTGTGCTTATCTAATTAAGCACTATGCCATGAAGGTGTATGGGGGAGTGGATGTATAGATCCACATTTTTTTGACACAATTTGGAGGTGAGTGGTCAGCTTCATGCCCCTGCCGCTTTACCCCTGGTACCCATTGGATAGGAGGCTGGGTGGGCCCCAGAGCCCATCTGGACAACGTGGAGAAGAGAAAATTCTTGATCCCACCAGGATTCGAACTCAAGATACCTCCATCGTCGTCCACCCTGTAGCCAGTCGCTGTACTGACTGTGCTATCCTGGCTCCTTGTACATCTGTAAATGGGGGCAAATAAGTGTAGTGCTAACGTGCCTTTAAACTCGTTCACCCACTCACTACTTCCTGTTATGTCAAAGCCTAAGGCTTGCCATTCTGTGTTTATTCTGACTGTATGTAGAAATCATTGTTGTTACCAGTAGTTATAGACAGAACTGCTACTCTGCTGTGAGAGGTGCCTATGCTTCCGTCAGGGCAGTCTCAACTTTAGGCGAGAAAAGAATTCATTGTTAGCATGCGCATTCAGTGAACTAATAATTTAGTGATAAAGCTGGGAATCTGCAGTGGAGTTACGTGTGGAAACTGTAACTAGAGACTGGGATTATTTCAAAGGTTTTGTATATTTATTGTATGTGAGATCATTCAGAATGATGTGCAGCCATGTAAACTATTAACACAAGGGAAGGTTGAAGAATATAAAAGGGATAAAATGAAATGTATGGTGGCAATCTCAAAATATTAGCCATTATTGAAATTCATGAAGTGTCTGTCAGTATTTATTTTGTATCTGAGGAACATATCATTCTGCCACCTAGTGCATACTGGTATTCTATCCTTCGGGTTTTTCAAACTAAAAATTCTTTATGAATTTTTGATCCCCCTCTTATGCGCTACAGTTTCAATTTCATCCTCCTTGGTTTGATGAATATGATAGTGACACGTACAAATTATGATGCTGCTCAAGATGTGCTTACATTCTCGTCTCACTTCTCTCTTTCTCTCAGGTCCAGCTCCTCAGCACTTTGCTCCTCATTTAGGGTAAGAGACAAAAATTCATAAACATGCAAAACAACAGCTGTAAGCTGTATGCTGTCTATACTGAAGCCACAGATTCTGTTCAAAGATACTCTCATTCTTCCATTTGAATAAGGTGGAACATCTATGTGTAATCCTATATAAATACCTATTTTAATACATTTTTAACTCCAGGTACAAAGATAATCTGTTAAAAATACCTATAATTCTACTTAACTGGGAGAAGATGAAAATAATAACTTCCTTGAACCTCCATTTTGAATATAAATATAACCAGATTTGTTCACTACAGGAAGCTTCTTGCTTCCCCTTCTATGTTACATGCAGGTCTAGCGTGAAGGCTTAGCCATGGACCAAGTGGCTGCCTCAGGCAGTACATTATACAAACTCTTAATTTTTTAATTTTGGCAAATGAAAAGCAATTTATGGTGATCTTTTATTCATGCCTTGAACATTAATTGGCTGCAAACTGAACGTTATTCAACAATGTAAACAAAACTTTTATGTATGACCACACTCATGATACTTTTCAGCACAGTGTCTGGAAACTTCACGTGAATAAATGTGACAAAGTCTTGAGAAAGTAGATATGTTTTTAACTGGGAGAGGGGGGCGGGTAGTTAATCTCTCACAGTCTGGAGCATCATTTAGGCTTAAAGCAGCACTGGTCACAGATGCTGTAATTTGCTAGCCACAGTGTTAGAGGTTCCTGTAGCCTTCACCAATTGATCCCAATTTAGATCACATCATAATGTGAAAGGTCATATCATTAAGTAGAACTCAGTACTTCCAATATCTTTTACTGTTAGTACAGGGAGAATCTCCAGCATCCACTAATTGATGCCTGGAGCACTGTAAGAAAGATGCATAAGTGCAGTGAAGTACATAACTATGAGGGGAAATGAAGCAGAAGTTCACTCAGTAAATGGTGTCTTTGAAAATGAGATGAAGCTATCCCTGTATCTAAAATCATTATGATAGCATACAGAGAGCTTTCACGTTTAAGGTCTCAGGTAGAAGTGAGTAATTATATTTAAGATCAGTCTGTCTTCATCCCTGAGGAAAGAAATTTTAGTACCAACTGAAGAGGAATATGTGAACATAAACTATTCAGGAACTGGAGGCGAAGAGAAGAAGTCTAATGCCATCCACCAAGAATAGAACCCAGACCACTTAGTTCAAGATATCCCATTACTTTATTGACTGAGTTTTCATAGTAAAGATATTCAAATGCAGAAGTTGCAGGCAAAACTCATGTCTTCATAACTTTACTTTCATAGTGTACAGAATTCCATCCTACAAATATGTTGTTAATGTCATAGTCAGGTAATGCAAATTTAAATAAAAAAATAAAATTCAATTCAAATTTAGTTAATGGGTGAATGTGTGGGGCTCATAAGTAAATGGCCATGAATCGAATAAACCAGAATTTTCATCATTTTTATTATTTAAATTTTAGGAAGGACTTGCTATTTAAGTTCAGACTCTGAAAATTTTTCACGTTTCTTGACCATATGTACTTTACCAGTCATAAAAGAAATTCCGGCTTTTAACCTGTGTTCCTCATTCTATAAAGAAATACAGATTTATAGTATCATAATGTCCATCAGTTCATTCCCTGATAATGGAACCAACTGACATACTTTCAAGGAACTTACATGAGCATCATACCACTACAGGCAACTTTCATACTTTTTAATTTTGTAATATCAATAATATGAATGCAGTAGTAATGCAAAGTTCTGTGAAGTGATTGATGGCAATGCTACTCAGTGTTGGATTTTAAATTTTGAGTAGGAATATATGCAACTTCAGTTGCGGAAATTTTATGTAGCATGTAAAATGACATGAGTCATTCAGAATCTTTGTACTTCTTTTATTTCATTGCAATAAGTAAGAAGATATGAGAAGTCTCGTATGGTTACAGACCAGATACATACAAACAACTTCTGTTATCCAGTTCACAGTCTTTTCTCTTGCCATCTCCTAGTGTAAAAGCTTGCTCAGATGTCCAAATTCTGTCCCTAACAGTAAACTGTAATAGTAGTTACAGGATGCACACACAAGTGGCAGTGAGTGGAGTACGTATGTTTCGGTTAAAATAGTAGTCTCAAGCTTTGCCAGAAACAATATTAGTAGTTATGAGATGAGAGATCCCAGCATTTTACAGAACCCAAAGCTTAGTTATTGTGTTCACAGGAGCCTGCCACTGGTTCCATTCCTGATCCAGAAAAACCCAGTCCACACCCTTCCAACTGTAAACTAGAAATTTAAGTAGATTCTAAACGGTTCTGACAATGTATAACACTCAGAAATACTGGGATTTCAGACTTTTTCCATCAACCGGTATTCTAGAAACTAGAAAACACAATGTTTTGGAAACTGGAATTGTTTCCATCCTCAGGTGAGGAGTGGGAATGACACATAATCTGTTAGGTCCTTCAGAAAGAGCTAACCTCAAAAACGTTGTTTTTTCTAGTTTCTAGGATAATGGATGATGGAAAAAGTGCAAATGCTCAGTATTACTGAGTTTTTGCACTTTTTCCATCATCCGGTATCCCAGAAACTAGAAAAAACGTTTTGGAAACTTCGTCAGGTGAGAGAGAGAAAGACGCCTACTCTGTTGGGTCCCATAGAAAGAGCTAACCTCAGTCACTGTGAGTGAGTGACTGAGGTTAGCTCTTTCTAAAGGACCCAACAGATTATATATCATTCCCTCTCCTCACCTGAGGATGGAAACAATTCCAGTTTCCAAAACGTTGTGTTTTCTAGCTTAAGATTTATGATTCAATTATATAAAATCATAATTTCTTATATTCTGTATGAACCCAAAACTTGTTTCTCTCACCTAAATAAAAAAAAGGTATTTGGGAATACAGTTCTGAGGAATTACTTGCACCTAAGAGAGAGCAACTAACAGCATTATGGAAAGAAAACTGCATCATGAGGAGCTCCATAATTTGTACTCTTCAACAAGTATTACACGTACTAATGTGTTCACATCAGTGAGGAAAGTAGAACACATGGGAGAGATGAGAAATGTTTAAAAAATTTTAGTCCAAAATTTTGAAGGGAAGAGACTACTTTGGAGACAGGAAGATAATATTATATCTTAAAAAAGTGGGACGTGAGACAAATTATCAACATAGTTGACCCTGTACTGCTGGAAATCATGCATGAAAAATAACCAATATATAAGTTTATTAATTTATTCTTTGTGCTAGCCCCACCACATAGACTGATATTTTGGAAAGAAAGCATGCCATAATAAGTTCTTCCTAGAACTTGTTAAAACAGTCGATGCTTATCCATCCAAATTATTAAGTGTAATATTTTACATGTCGACATAATCTAGGATAACCAATCTTAAATCAGGTGTAACCATTTATCCCAATTCTAAAATACACATTCTGCTGCAAGGAACGTAACCTATAATATGCTTTCATTTCTCAGCACATGTCTAATATACTATCCATATGTTATAGATTGTCTACCATATTATCTAATAAATATTTATTTAAATAATGTATAACAATTCTCAAATTCACAGACACAATACATATTTTAATAAATGTACAATAGATGTTTTTTATAGAAACATTATTAATTGTAAAAATAATAATATACACATGGCATATTTTCTTAACACAAACTGTTATGAGATGCTTGGCGCTTCCTGGCTTCTGGGCAGTTCTTCTGTTATGTCATCCTGATTTAATGCTTGAGATTTAATGTGATGAATCAATTGCCTGATACCAGCCATCCAAGGGCTGCATAATGATACATAATCCACCATAAGTCCCATGTGGATGTGATCTGCAAGCTCAGCATTACCATTTCTAAGGGCTGACAAAACAATACATACAGTAAATTAAAATTAAAGTATCAAAATTGTATGCAATAATAATAATTATAATGAACTACGCTTCTGATGACTGCCTCTGTTGTCTAGTGGTCAGAGTACCTGGCTACAGATCCAGAGGTCCCAGGTTCGATTCCCGGCACTACAAGATTTTCTGAGAAGTAGTGGGTCTGGAACAGGGTCCACTCAGCCTCGTGAGGATAAGTGAGGAGCTATATATGAATGGAATTGTCTAGAAAATAGAGATTAATGGCTGTGGGAATCTGTTTCACTGGTCAAGTAACACCCTCTATGTGCAAAAAGTTGGCACTAACTTCGCTGACAAGCGTCGGTCACTTGGTCAGTATAGTTCGCTTGCAGACTAAAAGCCATGGAGTTTTTAACAGTTCTCATTCATGAGTATAACCCTTTCAAAGTCAGAATGCATAATTATGCTTCAATATTCTGTAACACTAAGATATCCAAATCCTCTACTGCCACAACAAATACATCACAAAATGGAAGAGGTGGAATTGGAGGAGGAGGATTAGAGAAAATAGATGAAGATACAAAATTAATATACTGTACCTGCTATCTCCATATTTTCATTAAATGAAGAAAAACCAAAATTTCTCACATTTTATTTAATTAATAATTATTTGGACCAAAAAAGGAATGATCTCTGAGCTAGGACCCAGGGCCTCCCAAATGCAAGTACGCTGTTACGTGTGTTAACCATTACACTGTAATGTGCAGAGGGAAGAATGTGATATCAGATGGTAGAAGCTAACTGAAGAAAGAAATGACAGGGTCATGATTCTGCTATAGATGCTTTCCATATCTAAATCATGATGAAAGACTGTTAACATTAACAGAACTGTTAACATTAATGTGATAACAAACAAAATGGTTCAACATCAGTCACTTATGCATTACATGTGATAAGTTATCAACAGTGGTCAACACTAGTGCTTATTTTCAGCTGGTATGCACTTGTGTCCATACTGGTACACTTGTCAAAAGTTGCACATCTCCCAGTGCATTATGTGTTTCAACCTTATGGACAAAATTGGGGAAGGGAGAAACAGAAAGAAATGTGCTTGGAAAATAAAAGCACTGGTCAACAGCCTACATAAAAGTTAAAATTAAATATAAATAATACATGAAAGTAAAAGTAAAGGTATCCCTGGAAAAGGCTGTGAAGGCTCACAGGGTTGTGAGATATTGAGGTTCCCACATTTTCTAGACAATCAGCTCACAGATGGCAGTAAGGCTGTCAGTCTTATGCACCGGCCACCCTTTACCCCCAAGAATATTCCTGGTACTCATTTCTGTTAGAGGCTGAGTCAACCCCGGGGCCATAGTGTGGCTGGAAGGATTAGGTAAATTGAAAAAATTCACCTCATTGGGATTTGAACCCGCGGACTTCCGACTTGTAGCATAGTGACTCAACCAACTACGCTACTGAGCGCCCCCACATAAATAATACATGTAATTTGTATATTATGTTATATAAACTATCATAAATTCTAATCCAGTACTACAAGCACTAGAGTTCTAGACACGGAAAAGAGAATTTGTGAGGAAAGCAAATGTGCCATATACCTACATACTTGTAAAGCATTACAGCTGAGGATCCAACAATACATCTGCTCCCAAATAAGCAGAAAATAAAATTATCTTCTTTATACTTACCCATAGACAATTTTTATTCGAGCCAAAAACTTGAAAACTTAATAGCATGTATCTGCTATTAAGTTTTGAAGTTTTTGCTTTTAAAACTAACCTATTGTCTCTCTCTGGTAAAGTGCTGAATGCTATGAATAATATTTACATTTCTCTCCATATGGCTGGGTCATCCTCTAATAATTTCACCATGTTCTTTTGCCACTTAATCCAAATAAATAAATTATACTAAAGTAATTATGTAACACAGAGAACAAACCTTCAGTAAGTTGGACCATTTTGACGTAAATCTCAGGTTTCAGTTTATCTTCTTCCCACATCTTCTTCATTGCATCCAGTCGTCTTCTAATTTCACTTTCATTTTTCTGGAAATGAATAATTTTTGGGTTCGTACCGCACAAAAATGGCACATGTACTGAGAGACACAGGAGATCAAGCCTTAGAAAACACATTGATGTTTGAGAACTGCCATAAGTAATAGGCAAACAGGCTGCACATTTTAATGTAACAGCTTTTTCTTTATTCCTACAAACAAATACAATGGATGACCCCCACCAAAAAAGATGTAGCCAGATAAAACACAAACCTGGAAGTTATATGCTGAATTTTTAAGAATGCACTCAAGACCTTCCATTACGCTTTGAAGAGCTTCTTCTTTTTGTGAATCTTCTTTAGCATTTTCCTCAGTTGTGTTGCTTGCTGTTACTGGTGGCTGATCCAGGTGAACCACAGGCCCTGTGCTGGTAGGCATTGGAGGAGGCATATTCTTCGTTGCTGTACACTTGTTTGATGATGGCTGGGAACTCAAGGGAAATGCCACCCTCTTGTTAAGAAGTAGTCCCCTTTTTGGAATCTTGGACTGTGCTGTTGCAGTGACAGCATCATAAGAAAATACTGGAGGATCATTCCAACCAGGGTCATGTGTTACTGGAATAGGAAAGCATTACAGAATTTCAACAGCTTGAAAACAAACTAATGCATTGCAAGGATATTTATGTTCAATCTCCTAAATAAATTGACAAGAATACAAAAGACAGACAACCAAAAAAATACAGTACGAAGATGTACTGAAAGAGCTGTGTGTCACTGCATAGCTGGTTACTTAAAGAGTTTAAGCAAAAATGTATATGCTATTAAAATTTCCAAACAGCATCATGGGAAAATGTAATAAAGCATTACTAAACCAATGCATGCAGTACAGATGGAGTGTGTACAACAAAACTAAAAACATCTCTAGCAATGGTCATTAATTTAAATTATTCTAACAGTGACTATACAAAAGCGAACCCATTAATTTAGCACAATATTGTTACTTTCATCATTTACAATGATAAACTCCAGAGACATGCGTTCTTCTTGAGAAGCAAGCAGTTCCTCAGCTACTCCAGGCATTCCGACTCTTTTAATTACCATGTTCACAAGAGTCCACCACTCGTCCCTATCCTGAGCCCCATGAATCTAGCCTACAACCTTACATCCTATTCCTTTTAGATCCACCTTAATGTTAACCTCTTATTCACATGTTTACTTCTTCCTGGTGGTCTCTTTCCTTCACGTTTTTCCCAGCAAACTATGTATACATTTCTCTACTTTACGTGCTGCATGCCCTGCCCATCGCATCCTACTTGATTATATCATTTCGATAAACACTGGCGAGAAGTACAAACTTATTTTAAAATTTTGATTTCACATTCTTCTCGAAATTGCTTTGTTTTATAACTATTCATCAGTCACCTTTCGTCTTCACTAACTCCACATTTTCATCCTCCGAAGGGTTTACGCTCATTTCGCAAATTGGAAAGCTATAAATTATTTTATAACTTCAAACAAGATCTCTGACAGTTCGCAAATCTTAACTCACACCATTGTCAAATACTGAACAGCTGATGCCAGGGCAGTAATACTGTCCAGGGAACTGTAACCACGGATCACTAAAAGCTGACGTGTTAACGCAAACAAGAAACCAATATGCAGGAGTCAGCAAGCGAAGCTTTGTTTGCTGCCCGCAACCCTGAAGATGGAGGCGACATGTCACTTCGAAACTGCGGTTGACTTTCAACAGACTACACGCCGTTGTATCCCTGAAAATAGAAGTCCTAATGCACATTGTCTGCAATTGAATACTGCATACCATCATGGATTAAAGTAGAATAACATCTGTTCCTTGATAGTATCCGTGGTGTTTTATATTTACGGTTTCAGGTAGTATGGTGCTACTTTTTCCCATATCTAATTTATTTAGAAGCGAATACGCAAATGTTGCATAGCGTTTGCAAGTGGTATGTTATGTGTGATATTTAATGTATGATTTTTTTACTTGAAAGGGTGTTGTCGAGAGCATAAGCAAAATCGTACAGTAAAGATCGAAGGGTGTAATTACTGAGATGCACTTAGGGGATAGTTTCAGTGCGGTTCCGATGTTAAGATAAGGTAAGGAACGGGTTGAATATCGGTTGTTACCATGTATCCCTTACGGCCCAATCAACATTTAGCTTGTGCGGTACTTGAAATTATTTGGCGAAGCGTTCTATAATAGTAGGAGGGCGAGCTCAGTGTTCTCCGGTGTTCACGAAATTTTGGAACAGCACTAGTTGTCAAGGCGGGCTTAGTCTAACTTTATTCAAAATGTTTTTTTGAAGATGAGATGAAAGAAGCCAATTCAGTTGCCGCTATTACCACTCACGTATCGTTTTTCTGATGACTTACAAAAATTTGTTACAGTGAGTGCTCTGGAATGTTAGGGAGCCAGTACAATGCCTGGAAAGGTGAAGGTAAAGATTCTTGCTGGACGTAACTTGCCTGTTATGGATCGTTCCAGCGATACTACAGATGCTTATGTAGAAGTAAAACTGGGAAATACTACTTATAAGACTGATGTTTGTCGCAAGTCATTGAATCCACAGTGGAATTCAGAATGGTATCGATATGAGGTAAGATCTTAAATGTAATGAGGTTGTTGTGAGTTGCCTGATGACCAGTATTGTGTTAGTCCAAGAAGTAAAATTATGAAATTGGTATAGCAAATTGAAGCTTTATGTACCATGTATAGATTTCTGCCATACTTCACCAGTTTGCATGGATTCTAAGGTGTTAACTTGAGCCAGCTTCTCCACGGAACCATTGCTGTGGTCATCATCAAATTTTGATATAGTGTGTATGTAGCAGTAGAAGTGAATATTTCGGTTAACTAACCAACTCCATGAAGATGAACCTGAAGGTTCAGTATTGTGTTCACAAGAGCACACAACGTGGCTCAATCTTGAGTGTGATGAATCGAGTCCACACCCATCCTATTTCTTTAAGATCCATTTTCATATTAACCTCCTGTCTACATGTAGTTCTTCCTAGTGTTCTCATTCTGTTTTGTTTTCATACTGAAGCATTTTATTCACCTCTCTTCCCTTCCATGGGTGCTGCATGGGGCATCCCTCACATTCCCCTGGATGTTATCATTCTAATAATATTTGGTGAGGAATGCAAATTTTGAAGCTCTTAATTGTGCAGTGTTCTCCAGCATCCTGTTACTTTACCTCTGCTAGGTCGAGACCACAATGCAGGGCAAAATCATGACATAATGATAGAAACAAGATGTTTTGAAAATGTGTCACAGTTCAGATATTTGGGGATGATAAATCAAAACCTGATTGAGGAGGAAATTAAGAGGAGCTTGAACTCGGGTAATGCTTGCTACCATTCCAGAACCTTATGCCTTCTCGTCTGCTGTCCAAAAACATAAAAATTAGAATATACAAAACTATAATTTTGCCTGTGGTTCTGTATGGATGTGAAACTTGGTGTGTGATATTAAGGGAGGAACATAGACTGAGGGTGTTTCAGAACAGAGCGTTGAGGAGAATATTTGGACCGAAGAGAGGTGAAGTGACAGGAGGTTAGAGAAAACTGCATAATGAGGAGCTTCATAACTTGTACTCTTCTCCAAGTATAATTAGAATGATCAAGTCAAGGAGGATGAGGTGGGCAGGGCATGTAGCACGAATGAGCTAGGAAAGAAATGCATATAGGATATTGGTGAGAAAGCCATAAGGAAAGAGACCACTGGGAAGACCAAGGCGTAGGTGGGCGGACAATATTAAAATGGATCTTAGACAGGATTGGATGGTATGGATTGGATTGGATTGATCTGGCTCAAGATAGGGACCAGTGGAGGGCTCTTGTGAACATGGTAATGAACCTTCGGGTTCTGTAAAATGCTGGGAAATTCTTGAGTAGCTGCAGATTTGGCATCTCCCCAAGAAGGGCTCAGCTCCATAAGTAAGTAAATAAGCAAGTAATGCAATTTTGATATGTTAATGTCACTCCAAAATATTTTCATTTTGCCACGTTTTCACGTAATGTGTGAAGTATCTTTCTGTTATGATTTTGTTGTGTGTTCTGGTGGTGAGACATCAACATCATCTAGTGTTATCAGCACATACTTCTACACCAGTATCCGTACTTGGGTCTAATAGAACTTCTGCAGTTTTGTTCTGGTATTTATGTTTTCCTCCATTGAAGAATAATTCATTTATTAAAAATAATCTGCAATTAAAATCATTTTTCCATTTGCTTTCCACATCGTAGTACAACAGCCATTCAAATCAGTCTGGTCACGCCTGTTGCTATATGAACTTGAACCACCTCGAGCATCATTTGCTCTGTGCTTCAAGTTGCTGCTGATGACGCTGCTTCCGGTGTCAGTTTTTGGTTTTTGGTGTCTCTGATGCCTACCCTTTGACCTGTCCAGCAAGGGAGGCCCTGTCAGTAGCTACGCTACCGCTGGTATAGCTCTCAGGGTCCTTGGCATACTCAAACCCCCTCACCACGATAAGGTGGAGACACCAAAGAGGGGGTCATACTCATTATGCTCTGAAATACTGTAGTAGCAGACAACTTGTAGTATTCTGGTACAGTGGCAGCTCTGATTTTTTTATGCAGCCTGTCAAAATCCTAAGACCTTAAAGCTGTTTAAGTTCTCACGTAGAAATATCTCGCAATTTCAGTTTTTTGGCTGATGTAATTCCTATATCTTGTATGTGGAACCTGTTTGGTTCTGCACACACATGGTGCAGAAGCCATATACACTGAAACTGTGATGCAGTACACCATGAGTTTATGGGATCTGGCAGTTTAATGAACACTTAATACCACATGTACATAGTTCTGTGTTTGGCTGTACCTCCTCTACTGCTACTGTCAACAGTCATGTCATCTGTTATTACTTGGCCCTTATTTGGTGGTGCTGGCATCTGGGATGGTTCTGAGGGACCAGATTTGTGTGGGTTGTATGCTGCTCTTACAAGCTTCTTTCTTTCGGGTAGTGCAGGACCTTTATCTGGTTGTGACACATGAAGTCAGATTACTTCTGTATTTCAAATTGATAGTCTGCTTTCTGTGTCAGTAGTCCGATACCATGTCACTGTCATTATTGTCAGATAATGACTTACTAGTATCTGATTCACAATCCGTAAGATTATGGTGTTATGTAACTGTTAGCATTCCTGTGTATGCTGGACTCACTGGATTCAATTCTTGGTCTAGAGACAATCTGTTCTGACTGAGGATTTTTGTGGTTTCCTGTAATGCTGGGAGACTACCTTAAGAAAGATTAGAACCATTTCCATCCACATCTTTTTTCAGTTCATTATTAAGAACCATCATAACATTCGTGTTATATAACCATAATTGCAGTAAAGAACCATTATTAAATGAACCAGGAATCAGGTGCACACTTCATTTATGTCCTTCAAAATTGTTTACACTAGCAAGTGAATGTTGCATTTTATTGGGTGACAAGTCCTCATTTTGGACTGAATGCTGATGCTTTAATTGAGTGAAATGAAATTATTTTCGATCAGTGTTACTATGATTCTCATAGGTTGATGACTCAGAACTTCAGGATGAACCATTACAGATTCGCCTGATGGATCATGACACTTACTCGGCTAATGATGCAATTGGCAAAGTGTACTTAGATCTTAATCCTTTGTTACTACCTGCTTCACCAGCTCCTGTTAAAAGTTCATGGAATTCAGAGAACACTACTACAACTAGTACAAGTTTAAAAGGAGGTAAGTAACCAGGACATTGTTAAACATCAGTATTATAATTATAACAGTTATATTTGTTCTGATGAACATATCTAATTTTTTACCATCAATGCAGCAGTACTGTATTATTTATTTATTTTAGCATGCACTACAAGTTTCGACCTCAAATGGGTCGTCTTCAGGTGCTGCAAGTTTCTTACATGTATTTATTACTGAACTGCAATGGTAACATTCCCATTTTTATGAATGTTTTGTACAAGTTAGTTTCTAGTGAATTCACAAACTAGACAAAAGCTTAGACTAGACTTTGGTTAAAATTAACAATAAAATACAATAAATTAAGAATAAAAATCAGAATAAATAAAATTAACAATAAAATACAATAAATTAAGAATAAAAATCAGAATAAAAATTGTTCATGTGATAAAGTTGTATTAGGCGATTCTAAAACAACAATTTGATATTTAAAAATGATTTAAAAATTATCTTTCAAAATAATATAAGCTGAGAGTAGCTTTGTGTTCGTTACTGCAGTAGACCATGCATAGGCTTCATCAAATTTCTTCTGATGTTTGCTGCATTGGCTTGCTGTGTTACTATCGTAATGTTACCATTTTCCTAGAGAATAGATCCCTCTTCTTTCATGTTGTTGGTAGCCAGTGGTTAATGTGTGCTTTTTATATTATGCGGTTCATTGTGCTGCATGCTATATAAATAAATAAATAAATAAATAATAAAGTATGGTTGAGCTGACAGTAAAAATTATATATGTTCATTGTATATACACAGCAGGATGCAAGCCTTAAAAATATATTTGCTTTGATTTATTTCCAAAAATACGAGTATGTATGAGGAGTGTTCAGTAAATAACGTCTGAGGGTGTGTTACGCTCATTTTTATTACTTTAGTGTACTGTATATGATCAATAGAACAATGAGTAAACTTTTGGTTTCTCCTATTAATCACTGATCGAGGTTTTGTTCCACTGATATATGATCTATTTGACTTTGGAAGAGAAGAAATTGGGACTTGTGTTTGCACTCACCAGTCCACATTGACTTTTACCAGGTTATTACATCAAAAGTGTTCCCCTTCGCTGTCACCCTGTAGTCCAGGCACTGAAGAAGGAAAATGCTCTGGGCATCCGAGAATGCCATCAACAATTCACTGAAGGGACATACACTTCTGACATGATGAGATGAAAGCTTGGGTGCACAAGTTAGTGCAGACATTGAAACCTTATTTATTTTATGTGGATATTGATCATAGGTATATCAGTGGGACAGATGTCTCATTTGGTGAATGAGGTATGCAAAATCACAAAGAATATAAATGAAAAATACATGTGGCTTAAACTGTAGTACACCTTTCCATTTTTGTTTCATGTGAGAATGATACAAGTGGTCTTAAGTATCACTGTAAGGTTTTGTAATGATCAAAATTACTTTCTTGCTGTTCTGTTAAATTATTGGAAGTGTACAATCCCGTATTTGTTTTGAACTTCTCCAATTACAGACAGATTTCTTATTTTCTGTCTCAAGGGAAGTTATACCACACAGTCTGCATGTATGCAGTAACTCTTTGCTTTTCTGTGTTTCGAGTGATGTAACTGACTTACATTTCTCAGGTCCTTGCTGCAATTGAAAGTGCCCATTCTTAATCCTGATGATTATTTGTAGTAATTTCTTCTTATAGGATCTGTGATGTCAGGTTGGATTCCAGTGTTTGATACAATGCATGGAATTCGTGGTGAAGTAAACATCATTGTAAAAGTGGAACTGTTCTCAGATTTCAACAAGTTTCGCCAGTCTTCATGCGGTGTACAGTTCTTCTGCTGTAAGTAGAATATATTGGTTCTAAGATTATGTTGTTGGCTTCTGCAAAGAACAATCACTGCCAAATTGAAGAGATGTCACATTTTTACAGCAGAGTTGTTATAATATTGTTCTTGCATGATGATATAGTTTGTTCGAGGCTGTAACTCAGTTTTTTCTTTGGTGTGTCGTAAACTTATAACATTCTTTCAATAATCATATGATATATCTATTTAAGTTTCATATTTTACAAGAGTCCTACGTACCCAGACTTAATGACAGTGTTTAGATATATTCATATTTGAGATAATAAACTGGTTTAATGAAATGAGTTCTGTTTTCTTGGATATAATGACTTGTGACTCATTAAAAATTTGTTGACATTTTGGAGGAACACATTGCCCCCATCTTCAGGGCCGAAGAATGAGCCAAGCAAGAAACCAGCATGAAGCTGATAGTCGCAGGGAACAGAGTGCAGAAAGAGCATAGAAAGCTACTTTAGGGTCATTTCATGTTAAATCAACACAGCAGTTGATATGGCCACCTTGGGTTTCAATGAAATTTTGAAAGCGTAGAGACTCTAGTGAGTAAGTAATAAATGCAAAGCTTTTCCTTCCTGTATTGGTTAATTTAAGAGTTTCTGCATTTGAAATTTTGAATTTTTCTAAATTTTCCAGCACTTTGTTTTACTAAAATACAGCTCTGGTCCTAAGTAAGATAGCTCATTCTTGTACCATTTGAAGGCTGATTAGTGCAGCTTTCATTTGACATGCCACTCAGAATATTGTGGCATGTCTGCTGAAAGCCACAGTTGTGGAGCCAGAGAGACATCCGTTGCTAGGCAATGACTGCGACATGCAACAGTGGAGTAACTATAGGAAGCGGTGTTCTGTATGCAGTCTGTGCTGATAGATATGTGATGTGACACTAGAATAACTGTTGGGAGAGGTGTTTTCAGTGGGGTCCATGCTGAGGCTATAACACGGACCAGCTGCCATTAGTCAGTTAGTTGAGAGAGAGTCTGAAGGCAGACAGCCAGTTGAGAGTTGCAGAAGCTGGTAGCTGAGGTCCCCAGACAGTTTAGGAATCCAGAGGAAGGCGAGGGTCCACTGTTGGAAGCCACTGTCAAGCAGTGCAGTGAAGACCGTGACTGAGAACACTAGGCTATGTGTGACAGTGATTTGTAAAGTGTAGCCCTAGTTGTGTGTTAAGGGACGCAATAAATCCAATTACCAATCCAAACCTGTCTATAGTCACTCCAAAATATGACAGTATTTTAGAGCACATTAATATTTCATCCCAAAGGTGGAGTCAGTATGTTTCTCTGTAAGCTTCTAGCAGATGACATCTTGTCACATTCCAGAAGATAGTACACTTCATAGTCACTGCTATGAGAACTTCAAATCTCATAAAGTAATATTTTTTTTTGCAGCTCCAGTTATACCTCAGGGTTACCATGCTCAAGTTGTTCATGGGTTTGTAGAAGAACTAGTTGTTAATGATGATCCGGAATACCAGTGGATAGATAAGATCCGGACACCACGGGCATCTAATGAGGCTAGACAGACTCTTTTCTTTAAACTATCTGGAGAGGTACAACGAAAAATTGGACTAAAAGCGTTAGACTTAGGAGGAAATGCTGTGATTGGGTAAGGTTCTGTGTTAACAGTTAAGCACTGTGACTTTAATTTTAGGTTTCAGATATAGTAAAATCTGTCCAAAATTTGTGAATGAATGAATGAATGAATGCATATGGGGTGAGCCATAATAATCCGGCCCCTGCACTGCAACCTTCAGTGATTTCTTAACATTAATCACTTGGTCTTTGTAATGGAGATGGAGTGTTGTTTATGTTGTGAGATAAAAATTGAGTCATTAAATAATATTTAAATGAACTTCATACCTTGAAGGGTTAATGGACTATTTGTAGAAATGTAAAAGAAGGAAAACTGTGTGATAGTATTTAAATAAATATTCTACAAATGATTGTCCTCTGAAATGAACATACATAGAACGTAACAGGAGCTGTAAAAAGTATATATTGCATGATATTGTATAAAATTTTGCAGAAGTGGGAAAGAACAGCATTTACAAAGCAGTAGCATCTGATTAAGGAGTTTCTGTGCTGTCTGAGGGCGTCGTTCGCTATTCCACTAGTGGACGCTATTTCACTGCATGTTTTGGCTTAACTGGCCAACTTCACTGAAACATGTAGTGGAATAGCGTCCAATAAAGGAACAGCAAATGACGTTCCACTTAGACGGCACAGAAATTTCTAACTCAGATCTATACAGTGCAGCAGGATGCTGAATGAAAGGCAGTAGCATATAAGTTTGCCCTTATGTGTAGTTCCCTGGAATGATGCTGAATGTAATTACACCAGTGTATCAGAATGGTTCATATTAAATTGCTGCTAAATAACTTTACCTGTTAGGAAAACAGCGTTTTTTTTTGTTCTGTACGACAGGTACAATCAGTGCTTTGACTTAGAAGGAGAATCTGGTATTGTGGTGCGAGGGATTGGTACAGCCGTTACGTTAACAAAAATACAAGAGATTTCAGTTCAGCCTCCACTTCCCTTTGATATAACAGCAATTGATGAGTGAGTATATTTCTGATGCTTGATGTGCAGATATTTTTATTTTTCATTGTTCTTATCAATGTCTTTATTTTGTGCCATAATCCAGATAAGCCAGTTTAACTATTTTATGTGTTTATGTTACTCATCAATGTAAATTTGTATATATTTGCTTATATAATTTAGTAAAGCACTATGAGGTGGAGTGAGAGTTTATTAAGATTAGTAGAGACCCGAAAGATTACTGTTGCTCTGATGCTCTAGACTTGTATTTGTCATACTCCATCTGAATCTCGGGTTGCCATTTGCTGTTCTGAAAGGCTTTTATGGCATTCTGCAGTCTTTTCATGCAGATATCATATGATAATACCTTAAAAAGAGTCAAGGATACTCCTGTGATCATTACCCATTTCCTACAGTGCTCTGTGACATTTGTAGTATAAAACAACATTACCAACCAAACTGGCTTAAATCCTAACACTTCTGGCTTATGTTAACGAAGTACGTTGTTCAGATCTCAGCCAGGACATTAGTTATACCGACTGAGGCTTTTTATAGTTTTTTAGTCCCTGGAGGCAGAATCTGGTATAGGACCTCAGTCTATTACTGCTTCGTTCCATATTGTTTCCAGTTCATTATTCACTGTTCACCCTATCCTTTGATGCTGAATAGTCTTGAGATACTGGCAGCTTCAGTAAATATACCAAACATGGAAATTAACTGAAGCGTTATTGTTTAATAATGTGAGACTGCATCTGTCAACATCATTACAATAGAGGCAGTGGAACCAGTAACATCTGATACAGCAGAGGATATTTCTTCTTATGGATGAATATGTGAAGGAAACAATTTTCCTTTTTCTATGTTGTACGTCGAACTTACTATTATGCTTGAAAGCCAATAAAAGTCACCAAAATTGTCGTTACATTGTAGGGTGCGTTTACCGCTTGAGGGCATAGAATTTAACATGCAGATTTATCTTAGTTCGGTGTGGCTTGTTTTGTGCCAATTGGTGTGATGCTGTGTAGAGTTTGAATGGATAAAAATATATGTAGACTATGTAACCAGGCATCTAACTTCAGAAAATTCTTGAAACAGAATCTGGTACTTGTACCATCCTTTATTATCAAAGTATCCATTAATAATGCAAAAATTTAAAAGACATTAGGAATATATTTCACACTAAAAATGTATTTCAACACTTTTTGATGATGTTAAAATCATTACATGTCAATAGGAGATTAAAAGCACATTCTATACATTAAAAGTGATTATCCAATTTTCTAAAATGTCTTTAGTCATATATTTGTTCTAATTTTCCACATGTTTCGGCCACATACGGGCCATCTTCAGGTAATTTCCCTTCTTTTGGGGATACCATTGCACTGTATACTTGTTCACTGTGCTTCCATGCATGTCAATATTTAGCACTATATCATGATCAAAATGCCATCGTTGCACCCTATTGCGGCTGTGGTAGTTTTGTGTGTCGCATATATCACTAGTGCGGTGTACCTGTGTACTCTGCTATGTACTTATACTGCCGAAAGACAAAGGAAACTAAAGGCGAAGCTGCTGTTATGTAGTGATACATAACGTTAATTATCATATTTATGTATGTGTCTGAGATCTCACCCAAAAGTTCCCAGACTGACAGAATGAAATATGTCAGGTGTATGAGAAAGAAGAAAATGTGTTACATAAAAAACAAGTAAAAAACTTTCAAAATCTGTAAATTTCTACTAAAGGTGCTGCCATGACCAGAAACATACGGTGCCCTTTTGTACAGTTCCTGAACTTGGAAAACAGGAAGGACCAAGGGAGGAGAATGTGTGTCTTTCAGACAGAGATCTCCCGTATAGAATATCTAGTTCAGAGTCTCGCCCATAGGAACAAATTTTTGATCAAGAATTGGTGGGAAGTACAAAAAGACGACCAAAAGATAAATCAGTATTGTACACATTTTCATCTTTTGACAGCCTTTCTCATGGACTTGGAAGGTGATGGAGGTTACATGTCAGGGGAGGCATTAAACTTAATCTCCCTCAACATGTAGTAATTTGTGCCACCAGTGACTATGTGGTCATGTTTTAAGTAAATTGATACCCTTGATAGTGGTACTGAACAGGAGTCTGTGTGGTCTGGAAGAAGTTTTTGCAACTAATGGGACCTTGGATAGTACAGTACAGGAAATACGTTAGTCTCTCAGCTTCTTTATACACACATACTATACAGTATAACAGCTGAATGTATTCACACCTGCCTTGTGATTCAACATCCCTTGCCTTGACTATTCCATGATTTAACTTCTCCTTTTTGAATTCTCCTGCCTAATCTCAGTTCTCATCATGCCACTGTTAGTCCAGCTTACTTGTAATTTACCAGTGATGGACCAGGACCAGCTGTAGAATATTGAGTCCCATGCTGTTGATTGCCCTATGATTCATTGAGGGTCATTGTGCAAGCTTTCTGGTATCCCTCGGACACCATACAGCAGACAGAGCCTCCACTGGATTCAACCAAAAAATGTACAATGATCCCCTGTGCTGATTTCAGAACAGTTTTGATCATTTGTCCTGCTTGGTCAGCAGCTATCCCCCTTAATTTAACTTAACGATATTCTTTGAACAGGTTTTAAAGTAGAGAGAATCATGATTTCCCATGATTTAAGTTGTGAGATGGAGGACGGTCTTATACCAGGGCAATGTTCAAAGTTACAGCAGACATGATCCTTTATATTTCATGCGTGACACTTTCACTCCTAAGAACTACCATGCTGGCTTATTTTAATCCCAGCCCTTTTGTCAGTACATAAGTGGTTTGTTGTATTTCACAGTAAAGAAATTCCATGTTCAAAGAATTAATAAAAGAAGTTGCTACATACACCATATAAAGGTAAAGTTATCCTGTAACAGGCCATGGAGGCCCATAGGGTTGTGAGACATTGGGAGTCCCACATTATCTAGACAGTCAGCTCATAATAACAGGAAAAATTTATATGCTCAAAATATGTTCTGAAAGAGAAATATTTTGACTTGTCACCACATGTTACTATCCAACCTAGGTTACATGAGGCAATCTGGACAAAGCAGTGGTAAATGACCAAATGCCGACAGAGGAGTGAATGTTTTAATAGGGAAATTTTGTCATAGTTGATGTGTACCATGATCTAGGTTACCTTTGATGTTTCACTCTTGGCCACATATTAAGTTGCACAAAGTTAATTATATAATAGGGTGCAGTTTATATTTGCTGGTTAATCTGAATTATGGATGCCATGAATTGTTGAGTAATGTCCTATGTTTACAGACTGATTGTTAGTTCCACATAAACATTAATATTTTGACCTTGCTTTGACATTGATTGCAATAAAGTTGTTCTGCAGTTACTTGACTGTGAGGAATTTAAAACTGCTGCAGTTTTGTTTGTGGGCTTTAAGCATAATAATGAAGTGGCATACAGCAGTATTATAAATGTTACAGAACTTTAGAAATTATGTTATTGATCTCTGTCTGTCATACAGTAACATGTTAAGCTGTCTCCTCTTGGATGCTAGGTTCTGTTGTTTTTATCAGCAAATATAATACTTGTATTAGTTGTAATATTTCATATGGTTACATGGTGTTATGAATTTAATAAGCATGTGACAAGTCAAAACCTGTGGCAGCAAGGCATAATGTAATAATTCTGTTTTCATATGTTGCTATCTGTATCTCCCCATCTTTGCTCTGGTTGCTAAAGTTAAGTCAGGGAAATAATGTATACAGAATCTTTCAAACCATATGGTCCTATTACTGGTAATTTGATTGCAACAGATTACACGCTGTAGCCATAAGACTGTCACTATAAATAAGTATTTTCATTATTTCAGCACAGTTTCATTCTAAAAAGAACTTGAATGAAGGATAGGAACTTAGTTTTATGAGGTAGCCACCATAGCTTAAAGTGTCTTTGTACTTGATAGCAAAGATTAATTTTATGGTAAGGGTACTGGGTATTGTTTTTGTTAGTTTCCTTTTTGCTTCTTGTTGATGAAGGTCCTGGGGCCAACTCATTTACCTCTGTATCCAATGGCTATCATAGTTTATCTCTAGTAAAGTGGCTTCCATGCAACTCTGTCTAGTGTAAAGCCCAAGAACATATGGAGGTTTACATACCTCTCCAGCCTATGTTCACATGAAATATTTGGTCACAGAGCCAACTTCTCTACTTTTTTACTATATGTAGTTATGATTTACTGTGAATCACAATTCTGCTGATGACAGATATAAATATGCAAGCAATTTTCTTTTATATGTTGGTGAATTTACTGGAGTTTTCCAGAAAATAATCCACATGCCTGTGTTCTTTGGTCAAAATTTGTTGAAGAAAAGTGAAGCATACTAATGAAAGTAGCAAATGCATTGGTTACAGGTACACTACTTATAATTCCTTTCCACTTCAGTGGTATAAACCATTGAGAGACAAGACTGCGTACTTACTGGTATAAAGCATGCCCTTCTTAGTGAAATTTGGTTCATGGGGTTTTGATAGGTGGTATCAGAAGGAAGGAGCAAGATCAGATCCGCATGAGTCCACAGTTTTGATATGCCCCAGTATCATAATTTGTTCAACTAACTGCAGAATAACAAATGTGTTAAACATTCCATTTTTTTATTTGAGATATTGCTGTTTGTAGTGTATTTTGGAATGTGCATTTTATTTACATAGAATGACTACAAATTGAGATTTTTCACTTCAGTATTTGCATAGATGTCATTGTCACTGCTCATGTAATGTTTATCCGCTACATTTATTTTTCTTATAAAGTGAGAGTTGTGCCTGATCCCAAGAAAGCATGAGTTACAGAACCCAGGATTAGAATATTTATATAGTTTTGTTGTAATGATGTTTTTTTATCTTGTGTGGGTTGAAATGAAGTCTTTTGGCACTTAAGTCACAAGCAGGCTCTTACACCAGCCCCAGATAATGTATAAGAGATTGGAGCATTTGGGGAATGATAAATGACAGGAAAAACGAAAGTATTTGGAAAAAAACCTGTCCCAGTGCAACTTTCTCCACCACGAATTCTATACATACCACCCAGAGACTGAACCTGGGCCTCTGTGATGAGGAGCCATCAACTGCCTGAGCCATGGCATCATCTGATAAAGATGTCTGTATTAGTCTTTGTGCTTGCTGTGGAAATTTCATATTTATATTGCAGTGATATGTTAAATACTGAGTACTTCCTACAGCATATAATGCTGTATAGCCTGTTAATTAAAACTTAACACTTCCTGCTCATACCAACATTTCAGTACATGTTTTTAGGTAGAAATGAAAGGAATGAAATTTTGTAAGATGGAATTGAACTGCATTTGTCTGCATAATATGTTCGGAAATCTTTGCGTTTTATTTAAAAATGAATGTTACAATATAGCGAATGGAATTGTGTTTTACAGGGTAGCTCATTGCAATTCAGATTTTCTAACATTTTTCCTTCTTACGTACAGTTATGGCTGATTCAACATTTACAAAAGACTATTGGTAATATGACAGTAGCATCCAGGCCATTCAACCACATTACAGACTACAAGTTACCAGTATGTCTAATATGCATTTACATTTTCAAACATTTTGTAGTTGCATCACCCCAAGTTCTTTTCTGGTTCAAATGTCACAGTGTGCAATGTCTGAGATACATAACTGCCCCTCAAGTGGTGGGGGGGACTCTTGAGGGCAGAAACAGATCCAGTTTCCGAAATGTCGTGTTTCCTATTTTTTAGAATACTGGACAGTGGAAAAGGCCCCAAAACCCAGTAATTCTGAGAGTTATACTCCATCGTCAGAACCCTTTAGAAAGATGTTGTTTTATACTCAGTATTATTAGGACAACAGGGTGAAAATTGTGCGTAATCCCAGATTTGAAGATTTTGAGGTTCAAGTAGTGCCTCAGTTTTCTTTAATGTGGATATGTTTTACACACAGGGTACCATGGTTTAGGCACATGTTGTAATGAAAGAGAGTTAAAATGTCGAAAATGTAGGAATTATTTATATTATTTAAAGACTTCAGTTGTGTGGCTTTGTTTTATGCATGTACTTTCATAACTGTCGAGTGGATAGCATTTATACTTTGTATATATGAGATTCCAGGCTCAAATCTAAACCTGGAGACCAGCTGTAATGACAGGTTTTTCATGGTGTTCCTCAGGTCTTCCAACAAATGTTGGGGTATCCAAAATGAAGACACATTTTTTGAGAAAGTGAATAATAAATCATTTAACAATATTAGATATTTCTTTGGGTACTGGGGAATAGGTCAATTGCATACTTGAAAGTGAGATTCTTAAAGAACATAACACACACACAACATTTTTCATGGGTTAGAAATTAATGATATTAACATTCATTCATTCATTCATTCATTTATCAGTAATCTGTCAGACGACAGGTCCACAGTCTCTTCCAAAACAGTTCCTCCACTTAATGCGATCTAGAGCTTTCTCCTTCAAATGAGAATATCCTCTTCTGTCCCCAAGATCATCCAGCATCTTCTTACGTCTTCTGGTCACTTCTATCCGCCCCTCTATCTTTCCTTCAATAACTTCTTTTAGAAGGCAGTTACTGCTTAAGATATAGTAACATATTTTAATATAATTAACTTCAGTAAAAAATATTATCTTTGTTTATCACCCATTAGGAAAGTGTTTCAGAAAGTGAACAGGACTTGAGTTTTGCAGTATTTTAGTTGACTTTATTGTTATTATATCTTACATATTGTGACTGTCCATGTAGTTAGTTAGTTATTAGAGAGGGTGGGTTTCCCCATGCACTTAGACCAGTATTGGTCCATTGTGCTTCCCTCTATGATATTCTACCAGTCTCTATACCCTACCGATATTGGTGTGTACCATCAGTCCTGACCGAGCCAGCGAGTTCGCCTCTACTGGCTTGGCGGTATCTATAATGCTTCCCCCATCTATCGGAGGCGTTAGAGACTACTGTTGGGCGGGAAATGTCCTGAATTTGGCTCAGTGACCTCCTTTGGAGATACGAGGTTCTTTTACATGCTGTAAAGCTACGACACGGGACCCACAGCTTAAAGTCCCTCCCGGGGGACTTGTTCCCTGAATTTTTCTACCCTTAAAAATTCCACGACCTCCGCTGGGTTTTTGAACCCGCGTACCATGAGTCATGAGGTGGGAACGTTACCTCTAGACTACGGAGGCCGCTGACTGTCCATGTAACTAGGAGTATCATGTTTTTACTGAATAATTGTCAACTGCTGTATGTAAGGTACAGACAGTCATTATGCTCTAGCAGGGCAAGGCAGTTTGAATGGTTTTGTACTTTGCATTGTGTTAATGAACATAATGATTGTGTCATTCCAGTTTCCCATAATAAATTTCACTACTACTGTAGTAGATCAGAATGGTACCAAATGCTAAAATATAGCGGTTACAACAGCTGCTTCATATTCAGAAGGTCCTGGGTTCAAATCTCAGACTGGAGACTGGACATATTGGTGGAGGTTTCTTGCAATGATCCTCAGTCCCTCCAGAGAGATGCCAGGATAGTAATGAAATTGGCCCATGTTTACTTTCTCCCATATCCTTGCCATTTCATTATTTACCAATCACCCAAAGCCTTGAACTTCTGACTTGAAGTAAATCAGAAGTAAATAGGCCTAAATAAAACATTTAGGGTCATCTGTTTATTAACATTGACTGTAGCCAGTTTCAGAACTAAAATGCACACACCTTGAGAATGAATATGAAATGTGTCGTTATCTATTATGCTAGACACTGGGCACAGGATTTTATGTAGAGGAAAAAGTTAAGGAAAATAGTATTTGCTTGTATTGCTTCTGTTTGTCTTACCACATGTTTAAATTCCTGCCTGTATTGTATATCTTGCTTGGTAATCCTTTTACAGTGATTAAAATTATAAATACAGACGCAGAATGCAGTTATGCATACACCTGCTGTGTTAATAGATTCAGGAGAAATGACATACATGTCTCATGCTTTCATGGGCACAAGTATCAGGAACACTATACATTCAGTGACCAGTTTGGATAAGTATCATTGGCACTCTGTCTCTGATAGCTGCAGTGGATTAAAACATGTCTTCTGGTTTTTCTCTTTTTCTCCATGTTCCCATTTCCTTATCCATTTAGTGGCATGGTTTCAGCATCAGCTGTAGATGATAGATGCTATATAGTAGGCAGTGACAGCGGCTTGCTTCAGCCCCTTGAGTTATGTGTGCCTCCCCCTTCACCAAAGCTTTGTATTACCCCCCCAACTCCCAGTATTGTTTCTCCTACATCTCCTCCACTGTCTAATGAACAGCCTAAAGAAAGCCTTTTGCCGACTTTAGTTGGGCCAGGAATTCCTGGTGTTGCTAAGTTGAAGTCTAAAAAGAAGAAATCAAGGCATCCAGTTGTAGTTTTACCTCGATACTTGGCAGCAGGCTCAAAAATAGATCATTCACTAACACATCGTCATCACTTGCCACGGCCTGAATATGGGCGTCATTTGTCTCAGCCTGCTATGGATGTGCATGGCATTGCCTCATCCTGTAAGAAAATGGGTCAATCTACGCAGAGTTTAACAAGCACACTGGAAGAATCATCATTGAGAAACCTGCTAAGGCAAGAAGATATGCGCACAGAGGCACATTGTGGAGGTAGGATTTACAGGGGGTTGAGAGCAATACGTTTATTTCCTCAGAACAAATTATCCAAGAAACTTATATCCCTGAGAACAAGATTACAGCCTGATTCTTCAGTAGATGAAAAGGAATCTGAGATTGGTAATGCGGATGTAGTGACTGACAGAGTCCAGATTGCTTGTGCTAAGAAGTCAAAAGTTAAATTTGAAAGGCGACACAGTAGATCGTCAAGTGATTCAATGGCAGCGGCTATCATAAGGTCTTTAATGGATAGTAACATAACTGGATTGGATCGAGTTGTGGAAGTTAAAGAAAGTCCAGGATCTTCTCCTAGTTCACCTTCAAGAAGGGAAAGCTATACTAGTATTGAGCTTTCCAAACATGCTCTCGGATATTCTGACAAGGTATCTGAATTAGACAGCTCACCAGTTCAAGAAGGTCCCCCTGATGTTCATATAACTGTCTCTGAATCTTTTCTTCGCCTTCCATCAAATGATGATGGTCCAGAACTGAGATATGTTGATGGTCATCTTATATCAAACACTTATTCAAATGTTTCATCAACATCAGATTCATCAAGCTCAGAAGAAGAGGCTTCAGAAGATTATTCACTTGATGTTCCTGTTAATGATAAGTCACCGACTTACTGTACGTCTACTACTCCTGTAATACCTTCTCAATTGGATGTAATGAACACAGTCTCCATTGTTCTGTGGGACTGTGGTAGTAATGTTGGTGAGCTTCATTCACCAGTGGTTAATGGTAGCAGTACTGAAATAACACCGATCAGTAATGTACCAGTCTTAGAACCGACTACAGTTGACAGTCCACAGACAATAGGTACATCAATTTGTTTAGCTGGCACTGAACAAACAAATGCATATTGTTTTGGTGAAGGTAAGACAAACTTGAATTTATACCAACAAGAAAGCGAAGCCACTGATAGTGCTTCCTTGGTGGAGAAAGTAAATATGACAACGATACTGCGTCAGTCTGCTGATACGCGGTCTGTTTCAGTGCAACAGAACAACGATCCAGAGAACGTGCCTTCTTTTGTTAACAAGATTGCTGGGAACACCAAAACTGACTTTGAACGAAACTGTAGCTTTTCTCTACCAGTGAATGACAGTGGAGAGGAGAACATACCCACATCAACTGCAGGTGATTATGTATCTGTGGAAGTGCCATCAAATTATATTTGTACGCCATGCATACACACAGAAAAGATGAAATCTGAGAAAGAATATTTACTTTTACAAGATTCTGGAATTGATAATGACCATTCATCTTACGCATCAATATCAGAATATAGTACACAGTTAATGCAGGAAAATATGTTATCTGTTTCTGAGGAAACTGTGCATACAGTTGAAACAAGCAGTTTCTCTGGCATACTTTCCTTGCCACAAAATGAAAACACTTCCATTGCTACTCCAGGTCCTAGTACCACTCCTAATGTGTTGCCTAACCAGGAGAATGTTACATATGTCTGTACATCAGTTGAAGAAGGGTCCACCAACGGCCTCTCAGCTGGTAATAGTGTTCATGTTAGCCCCCTTGTAAAAACAGATAATGATAATAGTGCCTGTAAATTAGATGTTGTACTTGATGTTAGTGATAGTTGCAAGACTAATAGTGTGATTGGTATGCAGAACTTGCCTGTTGGGAAGGTTAGTGTTGGTATGCTAAACATCCCCACATCACCCCTTCACAAGAGTCAAAGTGCAACCACTCTGTGTTCATGCCCCACTGCTACTGTCAAGCATGATACTAACGATGAGCAAGCAAGCCCTTGCTGTGGTGGAGATTTGCAATTCCACAACATCAAGCATGGCCCCTGCTTCGCTCCACCCAGCAGGCAGCAGCAGCAGCAGCAGCAGCAGCTATTTTCTGGTGGAGAGGAAGAGAGGCAGCTCACTGGCTCACCTCAACAAGCTAGACCTGTGTCTTCTACTAGTTCCAAGATATCACCATCTCCTGCCAAGCTGTCGAACCTTCCTGCCATTCACCGGAGATCATCAGACTCTGATCTTAGCATCACACCTAAAGGTAAACACATATTTAATTATTTGATGAGTTTGTAGTAGTTTGTAATCTGCGCCAGATATTACGAGTGTTGGAACTTTAATAGTGGCAACACTGCTGTAGAGACGCCATGCAACGGAACCAAATAATGTCGATTGTACCACACGTTAGTTACATACCTACCTTACCTCAGAGCAAATGGACTTTCCCTTCCCACATCATGCGCATGCGCAGTGACGAGAAGAACAGACCCTCATGTTAGCTGGTGGTCTAATGTAGTGTTGTCACGATGTTTTCAAAATAGGAACAACGGAGTTGGATAAAGATTGAATGTGCCAGAGGCTGTACAGCATGGCAGTGTCATCAAGGTCTTCAAGAGGCTTGTGGGGAATCTGCATTGCCTTACAGAACAGTGGCAATGTGGGTAAAAGCCTTCAACGAGGGATGCCAAAATGTGGCAGACATGCGTCAGCCAGGTCGTCCTAGTGTCAGTGAAGAAGTGTATGCTCTTTCCGCGTTACTGGAGAGTGATTGACGCCATACGATTCGTGAGCTGGCCCAAGAGACAGGATTAGCGTGTACGACTGTGCTTCACATTCTGAAGGAACACCTGGGCATGAGAAAAATTGCATCACGATGGGTTCCGCATTATTTGACAGAAATACAGAAATGGCAAGCTGTGGCTGATTTGTTTGATCAGTGGGGCTTGGAAGTGCTGTACCATCCACCATACTCCCCAGACTTAAGCCCTTGTGACTTCGACTTGATCCCTAAGATGAAGGAGCCACTTCGTGGCATTTGCTTCAGAACTGTTCCAGAGATTCTTCAGGCAGTAGACCACTCCATTTGAACTATCAACACAACAGGCGCTGCTAAAGGTATCCTACGACTTCCACATCGCTGGCATTGGGTTGTACACAATGCTGGTGACTACATTGAAGGACAGTAAAACTTTGAAACATGCATCTATTTTGTATCAGTTGTAAATAAATAGTTGCCACTATTAAAGTTCCAACCCTTTTATATGGCAGTTAAATTAAGGTGGAGTTAGGCAGGATATGTAGCACGCATGGGGAAATGAGAAATTCTTGCAAATTTTGAAGGGAAAACCTGAAGTGAAATGACCATTTGGGAAATGCAGACGTAGATGGGAGGATAATTTCATTCTTTTTTAGGAACAATGTGAAGGGATGTGGGCTACTGTGAGGATGGTAATGAAGCTTCAGATTCCATAAAAGAAGGAATATTTTGATTAACTTTTCTAGGAAGACCCTGGATTGTGGAGCTTTAAGTTTTGTTTCCTCTAATTCTGCAGTAGAGAGAGGAACTTTGTGGTAATCATGATTCCCCTTCAAGCCAAATATCTCTGCAGGTTTAAGATGATTGCAAATTTCAGTAACTAAGTGACCCTTCTGTGGAAAGGAGTTTTTTTATTGCTAGTGGGATGGGACTAAGTCCCTAGTACTGCGGCCACCTGTGGCCTATTGTACCAGCTCCAGATGATAGGTGAGGGTGATTGTGAAGCAGTTGGTGGAATAAAGATTGGCAGGGGAAACCGAAATACTCAGAGAAAACCTGCCCCAGCGCCACTTTGTCCACCCCAAATCCCACTTGACCAGACCTGGGATTGAACCCAGGCTGCCGTGGTGGGAAGCCAGCTACTAACCGCTTGAGCTATTGCGCGGTCTAGTTGCTCAGTTAGTCAAAGGTTTGTTGCCATGTTCACTTGAGCCTGCCAATACTCTTTCCTGAAACTGATACATCCAGTTCTGTCTTAAGATCAACTGTAAGTTCATCCTTCCATCTGTGCCAAGGTATCCCATGTGTTTCCTTCCCTTCCATTTAGGGTTTTCAGTTAAAATTTGTATGCATTCATTATCCCTTTCAGACACGATACATGCCCAAGATGTTTAATGACATATTTTTATTAATTTTATTTTTTTGTATCAATTGTAGCAGTCATGATCAGCTCTGGTATATTTCTTATGAACAAAATTTTGTACTCTGAAGCTTGAAAGTTGAAATATTCAGTATATTGTGTATCCTAATTGTCTAATCAGTTAATTTGGCCAATTTGTCTATAGTGACAGCAGTCACTGATTATTCACTGTTGCTGTAACTATGAGAAGATCTTGTAAATTGACAAAACTGACATACTGAAACAGCAACAGGAAGGAATGATAATCAAATTATGCAATATTGGCAAGTTGAACATATATTTTCCAACAGTTTTGACAGATCATCATTACTGTGCTTTGGTCTGTTGGAGGAAGACTCAAGTTATGTAGTATATATAGTATTTTGTGTAAGGCTGTATTGATACAGCAATAAAGTAAGTATGGAATGTGTTGTCAAGGTTTTGTGATTATAGATGGGGTTTGGATTGGTAATCTCATTTATTGAACTCTTACAACTCGTAACTATAAGTAAGGATTATGCCCTTAATGTTCTACACACTTCACAAATCACTGTAAGGCATATTAGAGCTTCTCAGTCTGTTACAGTCTTCACTGCCATTGCTTGGTTGCGGTTTCCAATGTTGGACATTCCCCTTCCTCTGGGTTCCATTGTGGGGCCATTATTTAGCAACTGCTGTTGTATAGTTGCTTATTTTGCTGTTGTTGCCTAGCAATGGGTCTACATGCCAAAGAATTATAGCCTTTAGGATAGGGTGCCCATAATATTTTTTTTTCAAAGAACAGGACATTTCCATTTTTCCCCTAAAGACTGGGGCATTGGTAAAAAACCAGGACATGAACACTAATATTCTTCATACTTAAGTAGCTACTTGTGCTGTTATTGGAAGCTTTGTTTTGAACAGCCAGTTTATGTTTTTTTTTGTTTTCTCATGACTGATGATGCCCAACCGACCACCATATGCAGTGCAAAATTTCATGATGCATAACGTGCGGTCAGCATTCTCATTCACACTTTTAATAAACAGATATTCGCTCTTAATACGGTCATTAATACTGCACTTTCGTTTTTCCATCACTATATGGATGAAAACCGATGAATTCTTGCAGGCTGTCACAACACAACGTAACAGTCGACAAAGAATGCAGAGAATGATGTGAATTGAACTTCCGTTATGGAAGAAAATCAAAATGCTACCAGCGTAAATGAAAAAAAGACATATTACCAACAGAGAAACTAATAATGTGTGAAATTGTGTTTTGTGGATTAGCCATAAGGAGTGTTAACATCGTTGTTGAAATGCCGATTGCAGAGAATGGCATCCATTACCGAACGGTTATTGACAGAAATAATTATTACAAAAATGGAAAAAAAAAACAATAATAGGACGAATGGGAACCATGCTTTAGGATTCATTATATCAACCCATATAGGATAAATAATGTGCATAAGATCGTTGTTGAAAAGGTGCTTCAAACAGATGAATTCTTTTTTAAATGTTGCTAATCATCTCTCATGCAGAAATAAATAGATTAGCATTGTGATTCACATTGAAATATTTGCATAAAAAGGGAAATATTCTGTAGTTATTAATAATAAAATTCAAGATTTTGTCAGTTACAGCCATTTCCAACTCTTCACCATGTTAACAAAATTTAAATACAAACTTATTTAATGTTGGAGGTTTTCATAAATGACAATATGTAATGTGAGCTTTTTACTCCATTTTATATTTTCTTTCTTTTTTTCTTTTTGGTAGGAAGCTACATGAAACGTAAGTAATCTAAATGCTTGCAGAGGAGGAGGAGTGTTTGTATAGATATATCTGTGTTGCAGGTTCATTTATGCATTTAATATTTGCTATTTACTTTAGCTGATTCCTTAATGTAAGTGTTTTTCTGTCCTGCTGTTTAGTCATGTGTTGATTTCGCATCACATGCTGTTTGAACTACTGTGGTAAATTCAGTTTTGTTTTACATGATTATTTTTTTTTATTTATTTTAGGATAGTGCACCAAGATGTGATAGCTTACACAAAACATTACTCGGCCTACATATGCAGTTGTTTTAAAATGCATGATAGTGTTGATCATGGTGTTTAAGATAGTGAACATACCTATGGATTTCATGTTGAGAAGACTCTCATATGTGGTTAACCTCTGAACGTGTTTTGTGTTGTATTTTCTATGTCCTAGAGGCAGCATATTAAAAAAAAAGTAATCATAAACATATTATTTAATGTTGTGCCAGAATACTCTGACACAATCCATATGTTACATGTCACCTGATTTGTGATAGACGCATGTTTGAATTGGTGTACACAATGAATACTATGTATAACATACATTGTGTGTATGTGTGTATGTGGCTATTAATGATTATGTATGATATTTTCTTGCTTTAAGTAAAACTAACTACAATTTGAATAAATGTAGTGTAA